CCTCATGTTCTTGTGGCATTGAATTAATAAAGCATAAAAAAAAAAGTCTCAATTCTTGCTGAAGCAGGTGAGTGAATGTTATTTTTTCCACATTTAAAATGCCTAAAAGTGTTAAAAATCTGTTGTATAGTATTGTACTAGTGACACATAGCCTAATGTTGAGAATGAAATGCTTAAGTAAATGACATGGCAGGGTCTCCGTCTATCTGTCTGTCTGTCTGTCTGTCTAATTAGCAATGTCCTATTATAATGTGATGTTAGTCTGTTTGTTTCATCGATCTATCTATTTATCTATCTATCTATCTGTCGATCTGTCTGTCAGTCCGTCCGTCCGTCCATCTATCTAAACTGCCTGTTTTTCTCTGTCGTTTTCTATCTTTAATATCTATCAAAACATTGTTTCTTTTCTCAGTTATACAAGATGTGGGCTTTAATTGAATGGACAGAGAATGACGCTTCGCTGGACATTGTAAAGAAAAAGGACATACTTCAAAAAGTAATTAATGAGGGAGATGTCCTTGATGTAAAATACGAAGATGAAAGCTCTCCAGCAATTATTTTGAAGCTGAGTGGTAAACAGATAATATTTCAGAATGTAAATACTTTATATATCAATGAGTGCATTATATTGTTGAGGCAAAGGAAATTCTCTTTTTTGTTGTTGTTGTTTAGAAAATAAAGACAGGCTGCTGAAACGTCTTCATCAGGTAGAGTCAGAGAGAAAGAAAAAAGATGAGGGCAAACTTCCTGACAAAAGACCAATAAAAAGGAAGGAAATATTTAGTCCAGAAAACAGTCCATCGCCAAGTCCAGAGAAGAGATGCAAAAGAGTAAAATCTTTCTTCCTGATAAATTATTTTAAAAAATATATATTGTTGCATAAAATGTTATTTATTTATTTACTTTTTAGGTTGACGAACCACAGAAGGACAAACTGTTGTTCAAAAAAATCCAAGAGAAAGCCAAAGAAAACAACGAACCGAATGAACTTAGAAGAGAAATCAAGGCCTTGAAAGCTGAAAATCAGGAACTAAAGGCACTAAAATTTAAATTACAAACAGGTAATTACATACGTTTCACTCATAAAAAATAAAAACACTTCCTTTTTATGTTTTTACTGATGTGAACTTTTGTGCTGTTGTTTTTTTCTCCCAATTTAGACATTATTAACAGATTTGAGGAGTTGTTGCCAAATAGAACCAGATCTGTTGCACAAACCTGTCCACCACCTGCATCTCCTAAACC